GACAGCAACATTGTCAGTCTGGGGGGAGGGGAGTGTAAAATGTATTAGCAGACTTAAATACACTAGCAAATTGAAGCCAAACTCCAGATAATGGTTTATAAACAATTACAGAATTTTTTTCTTTCTTTTTGGATAATGGGTTTTACATGAATAAATACAAACTGATACTTTTAACCACCCCTGTCAGCATTAAATGGTTTGTTTCCTCCATGTAAACTGATACATTCTGCTGGAGAGCTTGTTTTTCTAAAGCACAAAAGACATGCTGGCTGGATCACCAGATGATAAACTTCCAGCAGCGGTAGTGAGCTAGTCAAGGATGAATAGCTTCAAACATGCTTGGGACAAGCAAAGATCTGTATTCAGACAAAAAAGTTAAACAAAACAAAAAGTTAAAAGAAAATAAACAAAACAAAACAGTCCCCCCCCCCCCCCCCCACTTACACACAAAAACAACAACAAAAAACACACAAAAAATGGGCAGACTCAATGAACCACTCAGTCTTTTTCTGCCATCTCTTTTCTATGTTTCTGTGAAAATAGAAGAAATAAAGCCTGAAACAGAAAACTCATGCAGTCATCACATCTAAGAATTGGTAAGATACAATATAATAAATGTTTTTTCTTTTGGGTTTAATACTGTTTTAAAGCAGAACTGCACTGCATCTGAGCACCACAAACCAAAAACACTATTTAAGCCCAGGCTCACACTAATGCTGTGTGGCGGGGCACCGTACGTAATTCGCACAAGAATCGCACTGTATTCCGTGCGAATACATGCAATGTCTGTGCGGTGCGATTTGAGCCATGCACATTTTGTATGGCTCAAATCACATTACATCCACACCATACGGTGCATGACCCTTTTTTTACCCACACCTGAATCGCATCACATGAGTATTCTCACCCATGCGATGCGATTTCTGGCAATCGCAACACGTTTTGCGCTCTGTTTTGGGGTGTCAATAATTTAACATTGACACTCGCACCAGACCACTTGAATGTCATGTGATTGCAATGCAGTGCGGGAAATTTACAGGATTCACAGCATTTCCCGCACCGCATCAGTGTGAACTCCCTCATCCATCCATGTCTCCATGCTTTATTTTGATGAGAAATCACTTTGAAAAAATATGTGTTTCCAATTTTTTACTAATGCAGGTAGCATAAGGATTCAAAAAATACTTAACCCCTTGACGCCGACGTCACACAAATATGCGCCCTCACAGAACTGGGCTTTTTTCTGTGGGGCCGTATATTTGCATACCTGTCTTTGTGCTGGTACCGCGCCGCGCACTTGGCCTCACCAGTCCCCGGAGGGAGGACCACCTGTGGAACCAGGAAAGGAGCCAGCCCAGCAGAAGGCCTGATGGCAGCCACCTACCTAAACCAGCTCACAGGAAAGAGACTGAATGAGTAATCCTACAGCCCCCTGGGCCAGTTAAAGGGAAAAAGAACACTCTAGTGGGAAACCTGATTAGCTCCTTACCCAGGACTGTTTTATCCTAAAGTAGAAGGCACTGGATCCCCTTGCCCAGGGATTCCTTCAGACAGCTGGATAGAAGAGAACTATCCGTGGTTTGGGGTAGTACACCGGGAGAGGCTGGAGAGCTCTCCAAGAAGAGAAACCCTTCTATGGACTTGTACATAGTTGCTAAGGAGTTTGTCCTTAGTTTACAGTTCCCTTGGGCATCTTTTACACCCCTTATCCCATCCAAGTTCAATTCCCCTAATAAAACATGAAAACCAAGCTCAAGGACTATTTACTGTCTCTGGAGTACAAGTCTGTGGAAAATGTGCATTGCCTGGCTGTGCAGGACTATTGGGGGACCCAAATCTTCAGCAACCCCTAAGGAGGTAGAGCTACATACACTCCCGTTGAAGTCAGTGGGGCCAAAAACTTTCTGCTTCAAAAGTAGCTTATGTAGGTCCTAAACCCTCAATTGTAAACGGGGATAATGGAAAAGCATTGGATTTGGCTTGTTAAGCTTTTAGGAGCTTTGAGCTTCAAGCAAGAAAACCCTCAGATGTGAATGGGGACAGGTCTAACAGATTTGGCCATTCACGTTTGTAGTCTAATGTGTGTGATCTAACCATTTTGCATCACTGATGAACATTCTGTAGTGCACCCACCAAGCAGCCAATGGTGAACTTGACTCTTTTTGCCCAGTTAAAGCACACACCGTCAGGCACACAGCATTTTCCTTACTCGTTAACTGGTTCGAATAGAACAGTCTAGGGGTGTGTTTTTGATGTTTTATTGTACGTTGAACTTGGATGGTGTGAGGAGAACATCTCACTGAGCTGCAAAAAGGACCCACAGAATCTCTACTGCAAATGGGCGACTTTGACTTCTTCCAAAAAAGGACTAAGAGCTACAAACAGTCACTAACACCTACCACTGCGGTCATCTACTCATAATTCCGTAGGGTCATTGGTTGCCTCCTTTCCATATCCACTGAGACTTTTCAGTGAAGAAGATACAGACCCACACCACCATAGGACAGCTGGATACTTCTCCCCCAACTTTCACCTGGCTCTCTCCAGCAAGCTTATGAACAGCTCCCCCCAGCTAAACCTCCAGCTGGGACCCCAATGTCTTCTAAATGGCACCTTGAATAATCCTGCCCGAGGAGCACAGTCCCTGCACAAGAGTCTCCTCCACCAGAACTGCACCCAGGAACTCTTTCCCTTCTGCCTCAGTCCTCAGACTACTTATAAGCTCTAAAAACCTTACAAATTTGAATTTTGGAAGACTGCTATATTTTGTTCTATTTTATTCTATTCTAATCCATTTGAATTTCAGACAACAGCTATATTCTTTCTATTATTTTCTATTCTATTTTATTCTATTCTGTTCTCTTCGAATTCTGAATTTCGAAAGATAGCTAAATTATATTCTGTTCTATTCAAAATTCAAAGAAGACAGCTATATTCTTTATATTCTAGTCTATTGTATTCTATTTTACTTGTTTTATGTTTCAATATGTTTTATTAGGATTTTTAGAAACCATACACAAAATGACAGAAAACGCAACTCACCAACATGATGAGTTGTAGAACATCAAGCAATGCTACAATGTATTCAAGCACAATGTGTATAGCAACACAAGAACAAAATCGACCAATAATGTGTAATGAAAAAAACACACTGGTAGTATATTTAGAGTTTGATCGATTAGCAACAAATTGCACCATGAGTGGAGTGGTACAAAAATATCACTGACATTGTAGGCAGGAGTAAAAAAAAAAAAAAAAGGTTACTTTTTTATTCTATTTTTTCTATTCTATTCTTTTATTTTCTATACCGTTTTATTCTATTCGCCTATTATGTTTTTTTCTATTCTATTCTTTTCTAAATTCGAATTTCTGAAGACGGCTATATTCTAATACACACAGTTTTTGAAGGATAACAGTACAAGTCAGCAATAAGTTTACATTTCAAATTCAATGCAATGCGAATTTGGATAATTCATAATTTCTGACAAAATTTTATTTAGTTATTTCAGATTTGTTTAAATTCATTACTATTTTAATTAAAAAATTTGGATACATCCAATATTCCAAATAACGAAAATTTTGTCCGAATTTCAATTCAGAACAAAACAAACTGCACAAGTCAAGCAATTAGAGCAGCAACCTGTGAGACACAGCCCAGAACAATCAACTTCTGCTCCACATAATTCAGAGGAGCTAAACTAAATTTACCTAACAACCTGCACTAATCTAGGAGGGTGCTGCAATTCAGATACACGATATTGCCAAACGTATTGGGTGGCCTGCCTTTACATGCACATGATGAACTTTAATGGCATCCCAGTCTTAGTCCGTTGGGTTTAATTGGTTGGCCCACCCATTGCAGCTATAACAGCTTCAACTCTTCTGGGAAGGCTGTCCACAAGGTTTAGGAGTGTGTCTATGGGAATATTTGACCATTCTTCCAGAAGTGCATTTGTGAGGTCAGGCACTGATGTCGGACGAGAAGGCCTGGTTTGCAATCTCTGCTCTAATTGATCCCAAAGCTGTTCTATTGGGTTTAGGTCAGGACTCTGTGCTGCTCAGTCAAGTTCCTCCACCCCAAACTCGCTCATCCATGTCTTTATGGACCTTGCTTTGTGCACTGGTTCGCAGTCATGTTGGAACAGGAAGGGGGCCATTCCTAAACTGTTCCCACAAAGTTGGGAGCATGAATTTGTCCAAAATGTCTTTATATGCTGATGCGTTAAGAGTTCCCTTCACTGGAACTAAGGGGCCAAGCCCAACCCCTGAAAAACAACCCCGCACCATAACCCCCCCCTCCACCAAACTTTACACTTGGCACAATGCAGTCAGGAAAGCACCGTTCTCCTGGCAGCCGCCGAACCCAGACACGTCCATCAGATTGCCAGACAGAGAAGCGTGATTCATCACTCCAGAGAACACTTTTCCACTGTTCTAGAGTCCAGTGGCGGCGTGCTTTACACCATGGCATCCAATGGTTTGCAATGCACTTGCTGATGTAAGGCTTGGATGCAGCTGCTCGACCATGGAAACCCATTCCATGAAGCTCCTTACACACTGTTGTTGTGCTAATCTGAAGGCCACATGAAGTTTGGAGGACTTTAGCTATTGACTCTGCAGACAGTTGGTGACTTCTGCGCACTGTGTGCTTCAGCATTCACTGACCTCGTTCTGTCATTTTATGTGGTCTACCACTTTGTGGCTGAGTTGATGTTGTTCCCAGTTGCTTCCACTTTGTTATAAGACCACTAACAGTTGACTGTGGAATATTTAGTAGCAAGGAAATTTCACGGATGGATTTATTGCACAGGTGGCAACCTATCACGGTACCACGCTTGGAGTCACTGAGCTCCTGAGAGCGACCCATTCTTTCATAAATGTTTGTAAAGCAGTCTGCATGCCTAGGTGCTTGATTTTATACACCTGTGGCCATGGAGGTGATTGGAACACCTGAATCCAATGACTTGGAGGGGTGTCCCAATACTTTTGGCAATATAGTGTAATGCAGGCCATAGATGGGTCGTAATGCAGGCCATTCGGCCGAAAATAAAATTGGCCGATTTTTAGATCGTTAGTGGGCTAATTGTTCGGCCGTTTTTCAGTATTTTGGCAGATTTTTTTTATTGGTAAAGTTGGAAAAAGATCGGCCGATTTTGCCGATCGGCCAATTTTTGTGGCAATTATGGGCAAATCGGCCGATCTTTTTACCGATAAAAAAATCTGCGCATGAGCAGTGACCTGCAAGAGGAAGACAAAAAGAGGAAAAAAAAAAAGAAGAAGAGGATGAAGAAGAAAGAGGATGAAGAAGAAGAGGGTAAAGAAGAAGAAGAGGATGAAGAAGAAGAAGAAGAAGAGGATGAAGAAGAAGAAGAAGAAGAAGAGGAAGAAGAAGAGGAAGAAGAAGAAGAGGAAGAAGAAGAGGATGAAGAAAAAGAGGATGAAGAAGAAAAGGGTGAAGAAGAAGAGGATGAAGAAGAAGAGGATGAAGAAGAAGAAGAGGAAGAGGAAGAAGAGGATGAAGAAGAGGATGAAGAAGAGGAAGAAGAAGAAGAGGATGAAGAAGAGGATGAAGAAGAAAAGCATGAAGAAGAGGATGAAGAAGAAGAAGAGGATGAAGAAGAGGAAGAAGAGGATGAAGAAGGAGAAGAAGAAGAGGATGAAGAAGAGGATGAAGAAGATGAAGAAGAAGAAGAGGAATGAAGAAGAAGAAGAAGAAGAAGAAGAGGAAGAAGAAGAAGAGGATGAAAAAGAAGAAAAATTCCAGTCTGGCAAAAAGTGTCCCTGCAGAGAGCTCCGCTATTTCTTTGACAGTTCCTTGACATTTATAGCGGTTGCAACAATGTATCTATTTGTTTCTGAATAAAAACATCTGTATCCGAAATGGATACAAATAGATACATTGTTGCAACCGCTATAAATGTCAAAGAACTGTCAAAGAAATAGCGGAGCTCTCTGCAGGGACACTGTTTGCCGGCTGTAGATGGGATGAAAATCGGCCGTTTTTTTTTTTTACCATTCCTGGTAACGTCGGCCGCTTGAACTACCAATTTTTCAATTTTTTAAATGAAAATCGACCGTTTTTTTTCCCCATCTATGGCCTGCATAAGTCTGCACATTAACTCACCAGCAAATTACATCCTTATGCCAATTCAAGTATTGTATGTCAGGATTGTCTATCCAAGTGGATAATGATCAGGTAGGAGAGCCAGCGCAGTCCATACACATGCCAAATATCTTGTGCTGTAGAACCATCTTTCTGATAATCACATACTTACAGTGCAAATTCTGAACTGTTTCTTCTGTTATTGGCAGCCTGTGGAAGGACTGACGAGAGAGAAGTGGTGCTCGAACAGTTGCAGATGAGTCAAGATGCAGAATTCTGGATAGGTTGGACTGGTGCCAGTCTCTTTATTGGTAAGGCATAGTGATCACTGTTACAACATTTAAAGGAGATGTGAAGGATTTAAAAAACACAAACAACCATACTCATCTAGGTGAATGCAGCATCGGTCCAATGCTGCATCTCTCCCTTTCTGCCTTTAAGACCAAGAACGGAGCGATCAAACACCACTGATCACTCAGTTGTTGGTTTTCAATTAGCAGAGAGCAGTGACTGTAATTCACCGGCTTTCTGTTTTCCCCCTTCAGCACACACTGAAGTGATGTCAGTGTCCACAAATGTAAGGAGCATTCTCCCTACTAACCATCACACTACTGTCTTGTGAGCTGTAGATATAATAAGTAGTTGCAGGGATTCCCTGTGACCAGAAAGTTATGTCAAGAGTTCCTCCATGTTAAAAAAAAGTTTGAGAAAGGCTGCTGTAAGGAGACAAAACATTGCATAGCAGCAACCCATCATTTTATTCGCTACATAAAATCTGACCTCCTAAATCCTTACAGCACAAGATACCCTAAAGCCATAGTAGCCAATCAGAGACTAGGAACATTTGCAGTTGTGTGACATAACATCATGATCAGTGTGGTTCTTTTACTGCCAAACTCTGCAGTTTTCTACACTTGAGCCCCTTGACATGCCAGAAAAATATATCACCCTGAGCTGTGGTTGGTTACAAGCGCGTTCACACCTACAGCGATCTCTACTGCCCATGGTGGCTGCCAGGTATTCAGTAGGCAATACTGCCACTTACAATATGCCCCCCTTTTTTTTCTTGATAGATGAGCAGGGATTTTCCAGGGATTACAGCTCGGCCCTTTTCACCTGAATGGGCTGAACTGCCCAGCACATGCAACATGAGATATAATTTTTCCTTTTCTTTTTTTTTTAAGTATATATATATTTTTTTCTGTTATAGTGTGAAAAGCACACATTTTATCATTTTTGCTGCTGCATGTGTAGGACCCATAGCAGCTGCATGTCACCTTTTTAGGCGGGCAGTTACGGGGCACTGGATAATTAAAGTGATATTATAGGCAATTAAAAAAAAATAGATATAATAACAATTATGTCATACTTACCTGCTCTGTGTAATGGTTTTGCACAAAGAAGCCCCAATCCTCCTCTTCTTGGGTCCCCCACAGCGCTCCTGGTCCCTCCCTCCTGCCAAGCGCCCCAAGGGCAGGCAGCATGCTATGGGGCATCCAAACAGGCTCACTCCTGAACTGCTGCTCTGCATGTCCATTCACGCACAGAACTGGTGCTCAACCCCGCCCCCCTCTCTCACCTTATTGGCTCATTGGCTGTGATTGACAGCCAATGGCTCCCACTGCTGTCTCAGCCAATGAGGAGGGAGAGTCCCCAGAGAGCCGAGGGTCTCATGCACATCGCTGGATCGCAATGGGGCTCAGGTAAGTATTAGGGGGGGATGCTGCACACAGAATGCATGAAGGTAAAAAAACCTTGAGCCTTTGTAAGCTTTAAATGATAAAAATGTGCCCTGCAAAATAGGCTTGTCATGCCATCATTTAGGCCTGACATGGGCAGCCAGGGCCAATTTTTGAGCCATAGCTTTACTACTCCCAGCCGCTCATGTCAGGCCTAAAGGATAACATTAAATCCTCATTTGGCAGCACATGGCATTTTTATTGTTTAACCAGTTCCTGACCGCACTATAGCCAAAAGACAGCTACAACACGGTCAGCTAGTTCTGGGAGGGCGTCCATGGATGTCCTCCCAGAACCACACCCTCCTGTGAGCCCCCCGGGGTGTGCACTGCGCGCGATCTGTGATCGCTGTATCCTTCAGACACAAGTGATCACATGACTAAGGAACAGGCCAATCACAGCCACTTTTACCATGTGACCAGTTGTGACCAATCACAGCTGATCACAGAGTAAATAGGAACGTTGGTTATCGGCAGTCCTCTCCTCACACGCTGCCAGTGCCTGTAAGTGCCATTTTGCAGGGGGACAACTACACTGATCATCATGGCACTGATGATCAGTGCCCTGATGATCAGTGTAGCCCCATCAGTGCGTCCAATAGTGCCCATCAGTGCCCATATGTTCTGGCAATCAGTGTCCATCACCTGAATCAGTGCCCATCAGTTGAATCAGTGCTGCCCATCAGTGCCATCTATCAGTGCCACCTAACAGTGCCCATCAGTGCCTCCTATCAGTTCCGCTTAACAGTGCCCATCAGTGCCGCCTCATCAGTGCCACATATCAGTGCTCATCAGTGCAGCCTATCAGTGCCCATCAGTGCTGCTCATCAGTGCCACCTATCAGTGCCCATCAGTGCAGCCTAATAGTGCCCATCAGTGCCGCCTCATCAGTTCCACATATCAGCACCCAACAGTGACTCCTCATCAGTGCCGCCTATCAGTGCCCATCAGTGGCTCATCAGTGCCACCTATCAGTGTCCATCAGTGCAGTCTATCAGTGCCCATCAGTGAAGGAGAAAAAATCACTTATTTACAAAACTTTATAACAGAAACTAAGAAAAACTTTTTTTTTTCAAACTTTTTGATCTTTTTTTGTTTGTTTAGCAAAAAATAAAAACCCCATTGGTGATCAAATACCACCAAAATAAAGCTCTATTGGTCTCAAAAAAAAAATTATAAAAATGTAGTTTGTGTACAATGTTGCATGACTGCGCAATTGTCATTCAAAATATGAGAGCGCTGACAGCTGAAAATTGTCCTGGGCAGGAAGGGGGTGAAAGTGCCCGGTAGGCAAGTGGTTAATTATCAAGCAGTTCAGGAGGAGGTTGGAATAAACTAGAGATTAATGAGAAAACGTCTTGAAGTGAATGTTGCTGCCCTGATAGCTATTGCTGGAAGTAGTTCTTGATGGAATCAAAAGAATATGTGCGTTCATTGCAAGGAGACGTATCCGGATAGCAGTCCCTGTTATCACTCTGTGTTTATCCACAGCGGTTTGTGCGTGTGTATTGAGATGTGTTTACTTCATCATCTTTCAATGTCATTTGTGCATAAATTAAACAGCGGTATCTCCGGCGCTGCTCCCAGTGGGACGCTGTGTGTAATGCGATGTTTTGATAAATGTCTACCATTTATAATCTACTGTTCCTATTTATTTTTTTATGCTAAAAACAATTTGTCCATTAGTAGTGTTTACAGAGCGCGAGTAATCACTGGAGTGGCTCATTAGAAGCGCTCTCTGTTCCTGCGGAATGTTGGTTTGTGTTCTCCGTTAGGGTCCGCGCCTGGATCTGAGACGTGATCCTGCCTATTCTGACAGACATATACAGTTGTGTCCAAAATTATTCAACCCCCACTGAAATTGAGTGTTTTGGCCAGTTTGACATTGCTTTTGATCATTCAGTCATCTTGCTTACATTTACATTAAAGAGGCACTTGTAGGTCAGACAAATATAACATAAACAGTTATAATGAAATAACCACAAATGTCTTTTCTGTGCTCACAGCATTATCAGTTTTATTCAACCCCCAAGTGACATTCAATCTTAGTACTTAGTACAGCATCCTTTTACAGTTATATAACAGCTTTTAAACGTGAAGCATAGCTTGACACAAGTGTCTTGCAGCGATCTACGGGTATCTTCGCCCATTCTTCATGGGCAAAGGCCTCCAGTTCAGTCACATTCTTAGGCTTGCGCACTGCAACTGCTTTCTTTAAGTCCCACCAGAGGTTCTCAATCGGATTTAAGTCTGGTGACTGCGATGGCCACTCCAAAATGTTCCAGCCTTTCCTCTGCAACCATGCTCTAGTGGACTTGGAGGTATGCTTGGGATCATTGTCCTGTTGAAAGGTCCAACGTCTCCCAAGCCTCAGGTGTGTGTGACGGACTGCATCACGTTTCCATCCAATATCTCCTGGTACTGAAGAGAATTCATGGTACCTTGCACACGCTGAAGCTTCCCTGTACCTGCAGAAGCAAAACAGCCCCAAAGCATGATTGACCCTCCACCATGCTTCACAGTAGGCAAGGTGTTCTTTTCATCATAGGCCTTGTTCTTCCTCCTCCAAACATAGCGTTGATCCATGGGCCCAAACAGTTCTAATTTTGTTCATCAGTCCACAGAACACTATCCCACAACTTTTTGTGTTTGTCCACATGGCTTTTGGCATACTGCAGTCGACTCTTCTTATTCTTTGGAGACAGCAAGGGGGTACGCCTGGGAGTTCTGGCACGGAGGCCTTCATTACGCAGTGTGCGTCTTATTGTCTGGGCTGAAACTTCTGTACCCACATCTGACAAATCTTTTCTCAGTTCCTCAGCAGTCACACGGGGACTTCTCTCCACTCTACGCTTCAGGTAGCGCACAGCAGTCGAAGTCAGCATCTTCTTTTTCTGCCACGACCAGGTAGCGTTTCAACAGTGCCCTTTGCCTTGAATTTGCGAATGATGCTTCCTAAGGTGTCTCTTGGTATGTTTAACATCTTTGCAATCTTCTTATAGCCATTGCCCTTCCTGTGAAGAGAAATCACCTCTTCTCTTGTCTTCCTGGACCATTCTCTTGCCTTCACCATGTTTGTAACCACACCAGTAAATGTCTAGAAGGAGCTGAGTATCACAGTCATTTTAAAGCTGCCTAATTGGTGCTTATTATGCTTGATTGCTGCTCGGTGACATCCACAGGTGTTTTCAATACCTGATGGAAAGCACCTGTATGAACCTCTGTTCTTCAGAGTGGTAGTCTTTAAGGGGTTGAATAATTGTGGCAATGAAGAAACCACATAAGAACCATTTACTACTGTATTACATAAACAATTGATGTCATTTTAGTTGCATTTGGGTAGTTACAACGTCCTTGTAGGATTTGATTCTGAATACAATTCCAAATGTACACTATAGTCCCTAAACCCCTTTACAGCATGGGGGTTGAATAATTTTGGACACAAACTGTATCATGTTCATTAGCTGTGGCTAATTATCAGAGCATGCAAAGGATACTTTATGTACAATGACAGCAATAAAGAGATCAACCTCCAATAAAATCCACCAAGCACAGTAATAGAGTATCTGTCTTCCCAGGAATTTTCTGCTGTTTTAACCTTCAAAGTGATAAAAAAAATACTCCGCAGTCAGATATGAAAATGTTACAGGTATGGAAACCCTTATTAAAGTGTTACTAAACCCACAACAGTAAAATCAGTCTGTATATGCAGTAAAGCATGCTTGCTATACTCACTGTGGAACCTAAGGGGTCAATCCTCCGCATTGTGCAAAAAGGCCATGTGATCCTGTCTTCTCTGCCCCTCCTCTTGTTCAAATGTCCACACTTTTTCTCCAGATGAGACAGACTGAACCGCAGCCATTTGCACATGCAAATCTTGACTTCTCTGATCCCCCCCTTTTTTCCAGTGTCCCCCCCTCTTATCTCCTGATAAGTCATATCCAGGGGCGGACTGACCATTTGGAATCTCGGGCACTGCCCGAGGGCTCGGGGTCAGTAGGGGGCCCCATGAGATGCCCCTGGTACCTTTTTCATAGGCTTTTTTGAGTTTGGGCAAGGACACAGGGGCCCCATGATCTCCTATTGCCCAGGGGCCCCATGAGTTGTCAGTCCGCCCCTGGTCATATCATGGAGACATTCTGCACATGCTTAGTTTTGTGTGTATTGCTAGAGAAGTTTTTTTTTTTTGGATGTGATCAGCACAGGGCCAATTAGCACTGTCCAGACAGATGTCAGGGGTTCTGCATCTTCCTAGAGCAGAAAGAAAACTCCTCCTCCAAGCTTTAGCTAGTGCTGGGCTAGACACAGATAGAAGTCACAAGACTGCTCTAACTGCTGATGAGAAAAGGTATTTAGCAGTTTATATTTCCTAAAATAATTGCATTTCCTTGTTGTGTGTACTGTGGGAGACCAAATATTGTGAATGCAGGGTCCGAGGTTTAGTAGCACTTTAATAAACATGTTTTATTTGCTCCTTTATGTGGTCTGTTAGCAAAATCATCAAGCGTTCTGCTTTTACCTGTTCAATAAGTGCAAAAAAAACCTCACATAAACACCTAATATGTATATCCTCATACCATAACACTAATACTAGATCTAAAATAATCACAAAGTGTCAGATTCCAAAACATAAAGTCCAATCTGCAAAATATACAAAAAAATATATTAAAAAATCCTCAAAAATTCAAGTCACTTCACCAAAAAAAATTGTCCAAAGTCCAACTTATCAAATCCTTTAGTGCTGAGCCCCTCCACTGGCTTTCAAAGGACAGACAGTACCTCAGAAAAGAAAAAAACTCACAATAGTGCACTACCCTAATAAATCATTCATGAAATTATATCATCCCTTTCCCCATAAATATCACTCAAAAATATATAGTACAATATTCATATAGTGCAAAGCAGTGAACACTGTGAAAATGAAGTGCTAGTGCATCACTCTGTGAATACAGCATACTCCGTGACCACAATGGTGTACACTTCTATGGTGTCAAGCATATATACTCTTACCAAATTTTATATTAAAAAACGCCTTTATCATACCATAGGAATTAGCAGCACACTCTTTTCCTCCACTCCTGAAGTATGCCTCCTAAGACATAATCACCATATCCTCTTGAGCATCCTCATGGTTTATGGAAACATAGCCCAGGACTCCAGAGTGCTCATGCAATAAATGTATAAATAGGATACAGTGTAACTCCATTTTATGCAAATAAGATTTAAAAACTTTATTGTAACTGCTTACAGTGTAACATTAGGTATCACGCATATTCCCATGCCCTTCCAAACTCTCAGGGTCGCCGAGCAGCTTCCAGTGTACATGACATGCGGTTTTCCAGTTTCAAAAATGGCCGACGCTCCACTTCCGGTTCCTCTCCTGTACGCCCGATGTGACGTCCCTTGACGCGTTTCGTCACATCCGGGACTTAGTCATAAGTGGTGGAATCTGACACTTTGTGATTATTTTAGATTTTTTGGTCAAATTAGGGATAGGTGATACCGTATTTTATTTACAAAGAAAAAACCTGTTGATCCTGCTAGAAATCTTGTCCATTGATAATGTAAGTAGTAAGCTATAGGCTGGCCATACACACTATATACAATTTTCTTACAGTTTTCTGACCAATTTTCTGCCCAATTTCCTTTAGATTTACCTTCCACTATGTAGTGCAAGGGCCTGCCTAATTAGATACAATTGAAAGTGTTGTTTAGGTTTGACCTCATATTATAAGGTTTTTGGCAAAGCAAAAATCTCAGAAAAATTGTATAATGTGTGGCCAGTCTAACACCTTTCAGTCTGTACCAATTCTAATATTCCTCGTACATGTAAAAAAAAAAAAAAAACATTTTTTCTATTTTCTTTTTTTTTTTTGCTAGAAAACTACTTAGAACCCCAAACATTTTATTTTTTAAGTAGAAGTCCTAGAGCATAAAATGGGGGGTGTCGCACATTTTTATATCACACGATATTTGCACAGTGGTTTTTTAATTGCACGATTTTTTGAATAAATACACATTAATAAACTTTAATGTACAAAAACAAATATTTACGCCGAGTAAATAGATACCAAACATGTCATGCTTTAAAACTGGAACGGCACCAAACTACCTAAAAAAGGCGACGCTTTAAAGGCATTTACAGGTTACTGGTTTCTGATTAAACCGGAAGTCTGGTGCTAGAATTATTGTTCTCACATTGACATTCGTGGTGATACCTCACATGTGTGCTGCGATCGCCATTTACATATGTGCATTTGCATGCAAGCACAAGGAGGAAGGGGGAGGGGGGCGCTTTATAAATATATTTTTATATTTTATTATTTTTAATGTTTACACTGTACATTGAGGCTGGGTTCCCATATATGCGGTGCGGCATATCGCATGTGATTCACACAGGAACTGCACCGCCTTCACATGCGAATTGTGTGCAGTGCGATTACACCCATACATCTTGTATGGCTCAAATCGCACCGCACCCACACCAAAAAGGTGGAGGACCCTTTTTTTGGTCCGCACTAGAATTGAACTGCATGGGTATTCACACCTATGTGATCTGATTCTGCACATTGCACTGTGTTTTGCGGACCGATTTCGGGGTGTTGTTGACTTAACATACACACCCGCAGTGGTTTGCATGAACGGGGTGCGATTGTGATGCGGTATGGAATTTGCAGAGAAAAAGCTGTGAATTCCGCACCGCTTCAGTGTGAACCCAGCCTCAAGAGGGTGTAGGTTGTTAGTTTAGCTTTTTATTTTTTCTGAGGTGAACACACACTTTAATACACAGGGGTTGATTTACTAAAGGCAAATAGACCTTGCACTTTGCAGTTGCTCCCGAGCTTAGTAAATGAGGTACAGCTTCACATTGCAAAGAATACCCAATCACGTGCAAGGAAAATAAAAAAAAAAATTGCATTTTTGCTTGCACGTGATTGGATGATGGAAGTCAGCAGAGCTTCTGCTAATTTACTAAGCTCTAGAGAAACTGCTCTTGCAGAGTGCAACTGCACTTTGCAAAGTGCACATTCTATTTTGCCTTTAATAAATCAACCCCATTGAGTTCAAAGACATAAAAACTTCCCAGTAAACTATTTGTTAAAATTTTCTTCCCAGCACTTGAAGTTTGCAACTTTCAGTTCTCCTGGCTTCTGCTCTCTCAGAACTGCTTCCCAGAACTTTCAATCTTTAAAGACAAGAGTTAACAATGGACAGTGTAATCTCCAGTCACTCTGTTAGCTTGGAGAAAGGGGGGAGAGGGAAGAGCAAGGGAGTGCCTTGCCATCCTAAGCTACTTCTTCCTCTCTTACTTTGACCATTGGGTTGTCGTCACTGAAGACATCCACATGCCCAGCAAAGTCAACATTATCTTATGTAACCTTCCCCTGTGTTGCCACATGCCAAGTCCCATGCTGCCATCTTTTCTTCTCACATCATTAATAGTCAGCTGCCTCTTCTGTATCCTTGCAGCCTGCCTCCTAATGATGTGCAGCTGTACAAGCGAAGTGTGCTGGAGGTTGACCTGAAGCCTCCTGGGATGAGTGATATGAGTGTCCCAGGAGGCTTCAGGCCAGGGGCGGACTGACCATTCGAGCACTCGGGCACTGCCCGAGGGCCAAGGGTCAGTAGGGGGCCCCGCAAAGTGCCCCTGTTACCTTTTTATAGGCTTTTTTGGGTGTGGGCAAGGACACAGGGGCCCCATGGTCCCCTATTGCCCGGGGGCCCCATGAGTTGTCAGTCCGCCCCTGCTGCAGGCAGAGAAAGCCCAAAGTGCAGGCCAGTTCTTCAGAAAAGGTACTTGGGTGTGAGGACCCACCTGTATGGATATAGATTGAATCCTTCAAACTGCATAGTTGTACGGTCAGCTTCTCAATTATGAACATGTTACATTCAGTTTGTAGAATTACATTTAGATCTACTACCCATTCTGCAATGCAGGAACCTGGGTGAGTTTGAATAAATTGTTTAAATAGGTCCATGTATTATATTCCTCCAGAGGTTGTACCCTGAGATGATTGACCTACCTTCCAGGATAGTTCCGTGTCCAATGCCACTTGGCAGAGCCAGTGGTATGACACCAGTGATCTTCGTAGCTTTCAATAAGAGTGACATCATGTCCACCAATGCAAGGAATATTCTTCCCTCATTTAATTAATTTTAAAAGGGTCTCCTGAGGTCTAAAGGTATTTCAAAGGGTTCCTCTGGGGTAAAATGGTTGAGAAAAGCTGTTCTAATGTGTCTAGCTATTTGAGCATATTGTACACATGTTGTATAACCACTTCCAGACTGCTTGCACACAATGTACTATGGATGGCAACCCCTGCAGACACAGTGATGTATTGGCACATTGTTTCCTGGTGTAGCACTCTCCTAGGTAGCTAGGGGGAGCTAGAGTTGTATTGTTAGTAGCAGCCTGGGTGAAATAGTCAGATGGGTCAAATTTTGGTCAGGAGCTGAGAGGCTCTGCAGGTCAGCTCTCTGGGATTTCCCCCGGAACTAGAACTTTGGAGAAAGTTCTAGAAGCAGTGGAAGTGAGGAGTGGCCGGGCTGCACTGTCAGGGGATCCTGGCCAATCCCTAACAAGGGGCTTGGTTTTATTGCCGGGACAGCACTTAAGAGTGAGTGAGCCTGCTCAGTGAGAGGGAGAGAGTTCGGGTGGAAGATGTGAGAGCAAGAGGAGAGTGTGGAGCCTGGGAGGGGGCCCAGTGGGAAGGTGCCTGCCTCCAGGTGAGATCTGGACAGGAGGAAAGCTGAACTTCACTGGCCCCCTAGGAGAGGACCATCTGTGGAAAGGAGCCAGAAAAAGACCTGAATGCAGCTACCAACCTACAGCTTGTAGAAGAAGAACAATGAGTACTTCTATACCCCCTGGACCAGAAAGAAGGGAAAGGGCATTTGGGTAGGAAACTTGACTAGCCCCAGCTGGATTGTGCTCTT